GCGCCGGGGCGGGAAGGGTTCCTCCGGTGGCTGGGGGTCCTGTCGGGCAGAGCGGGGCCGACAGTTGGACAGGTGCCGCTGGATGGCCAGAGTTGAAGTGAGCCAGCTCTGTTGTTTTCTCGAGTAGCAGCCTTGCCACTTATAGGGGTTTTTCCCTCCCTTTCTTTCCACTTTTTCCCCTTCTTTCCTCTTTCTTCCTGTCTCCCCAAAGAAAAGCAAAAGATTTGCTGTTAATAACGAGAACGGGTAAAAATTTAAATTAAGAAATTGCTATTAATTAAAAGAGACAAGCTCTTTTAGGCTTCTCATAATGCACATTTTTTTAATTCCTTAATGCTGCCTAACTGAAGCTTATCAAGTTTATTTCTCATGTACTTTGGTGCTTAGAATTCTGCACAAAACTGTATACCATTAATTCTACTGTCTGCTGGAAAGAGTTGTGCGTACATATACCAAGATAGCTTCTGAATGATAAAATTATCCCTTTATCATTGAATGACTTGACTGTATTCAAGTATTAACCTTTTATATTTGTCAAACTCCTTTATATGCTCTTAGTTAGAGACTTTCTTGTACACCTTCAGCATTCTAGCCTGATAGGTCATATGAACTCAGGAAGATTTTTCGCCTTGACTCTTCATGGACATAAATCTTTTTTAAAGGGCAGTTAACCTAAACCTATAGCAATGACTGTGCCATAGAAGAGAAAAAAAGAGGCCTATGCAGCATTGCCAGCTTATGGTAATGATGGAAAAAATGTTGAGCAATGACAAAGGGAGAAAGGAGAGGAGGCATCATTGTAGACCATTTCTTTAGGAAATGAGTCTGAGAAAGTAAGTTCTCAAAAATATCATTTGTAAGTGCAGACCCTCTAAGAGAGACTGTTTATTCAGCCTTTCTCATGTATTCTTTAAAAAAGGAATTACCATTAAAAAAAAGTCCCTTAAAAAAATCTGCAAGGACTCAATATTCCATCATCACCAGATATTTTGTTTGCTGTGGTGGGCAGACCCTGGCTGGATGCCAGGTGCCCACAAAAGCTGCTCCATCACTCCCCTTCTCAACTGGACAGGGGAGAGAAAATATAATAAAAGGCTCACATGTTGAGATAAGAACAGGAAGAGATCATTCAGCAATTACCATCACAGGCAAACCAGCCTTGAGCTGGGAAATTAGCCTAATTTATTGCCCAACAGATAAGAGTAAGGTAAATAGAAGTAAAACCAAAATCTTGAAACACCTTCCTCTCACTCCTCCTTCCCTTTTTCCTGGGCTTTGCCCATTTGTATAAAGATGATAATCTTTATACAAAATTTATTGGCAAAGTTTTAAGGATAAGTTAGTGAAAAGCTGGGATTTTGCTTCCTTTTTTGGTGGTGGTGGGTTTGGTTGGTTGTTTTTCTGGGTTGGTTTTTTTTAACATCAACCTGCATCTTTAGATGAAACTATATAATTTGCATCCAGGCTTGTCCAAAAAGACTGCTACATAAATCCCTGTTTTGCAAAACATTTATTTCAGTGAATAGCAGCAGCTGCCTTAGTGACTTTGTGAAAATATTTTAGTCATTTAATGGAATGGAATGGCAGCCTGGTATGCCGTGTGACAGTATGCAGTTTTTAGAAAATGAAGCTTTTAAAACTCACCCTCTTTTTTTCTTCTTTTTTTTTTTTCCCACAGTAGCCTAGTGAAGAAGAAAAATGCTGTTTCCTTCATCTGTTGTTGGCTACCGACATGTATCTATTTGACTTGCAGCTCATTCCATTACAATTTTTAGGAGAAGCTGTAAGAGACTTCAGAGTGGTTTCACTTAAGTGACATGAAAATATTGTTTCAAAAGGCTCTATTCTGCAAGGTTATAAATGTTTTTAATTATCACTGACCATGACTATTTGTGCCTAAATTAGTGTACCATATGCTTTTTATCTTTAGTAGTAGAGTTGCTACTTTCCAAGTCAGATTCTTATTACAACATAAAGCTTCAGAAAATCACATTCTGACAATATCATGCTTTGCCCTTTGCATCCTCTTTTATTTTCTTGGCATCTTTGCAAACTCGTAAACATTCTGTCTGTAACTGACGGCTAACTGCACGTGTTCTTGCCACTGTAGACAGGTTCTTTTACCATTAGCACTTGTCGGGTAAAGCGTACATGGCCCGTGGCACGGCCGGATACCCCGAAGAGGGTGCCGGGGCAGAACCCGGGTACCC